CTTGTTATTTCGAATTATGTAATAAGTGTACGTACCTGTTATCAAGAAATACGTAATAAGTGTACGTATCTGTTATCCAAAACTATGTAATAAGTGTACGTACCTGTTATCCAAAACGATGTCGGGATACCATACCCAGTCAAAAGGTATGATAACATTGTCCATTCCCCCATAGTTTGAAGAATTCCATGACAATCGGTAATCGATCCAATACTTGCAAATTAAAGAATGATTATAATATGTAGTATATGTCAGTATTATGTTCACATATTGATCATGGTGGTTATGTTATGGTGATTATGTCTGACCGCGCAATAAGCACTCAACAAATTGTGAGATGACAAGTTGCTGGAGAATACAAAGTAATTCTAAAAAAAAGCGTGCATCCATGGTAACCAGGGTGGTTGTGATATCATCACAAAAGTGATGGTGGTTGAGTGGTTGATCAAACAAGAGTCGACAGCTGAGAAGAGATCAACGTCGGCCAATCAGATCACGTTGTATTCCAGTGACCCAATCAGAAATGGGTCCCACAATAGATTTACATTATTTGCGTTCTTCAAGTTTACGTTATCGAAATAGAGAAGACGAAAAGAGAGACTAACCTGGTTCATCCACACGCCAGTGGTGATGATTTGATTCTTTTCGTCCTAGTATGAATTTAAAAAAAAGAATTTAGTCAAACACGTGATCGGGCGCTCACAACTCGTAGTGTAGAGTGTGGCACCACATTGCCATATATGATCACAAGGCAGTCACGTGATTGGACTTTCGCAATTCATACTGTACAGACTGCGCCGCAATATGTGCAAAACTCACCACATCTAACAACTGTGTAATTGAGAGGCCGATGCTTAGTACCACTGTATCCGAAATATTCCTTACTGGTCGCACATGTTTATTATAATTTCGGAAAAGATCTTCTTGTAGACGTTTTTCCTCTTCAGCTCCATCGGTAGCTGTGAATGGAAATACTCGGAAATTGATCACCATACTGGTATTGTATTTGAAATCGTGAGATGCGGTGGATATATACACCATGTGTGACGTATATTAACAACTTTCATGTTCATGTTTGACAGTTTATGTCGGAAATACTCATTCTATTGCATTGTGTATATAGTACGGAATTTGTGTTATCCACTCTATAATCAACCATTATAATATCGTACTCGTTGCTGTGGATTTATTTCTGTAGTTTGCAAACAACGGCTTCTAAACATTGAAAATAAAATAGCCCATACACATTTAATAAAAATCATTGAAGGAAAAAAATCTAAACAAAAAAATATAGTTTTGACTGTATTGTCTAGCGCTTCTGCTGATCCATTATTAGGGAAAAAGTGTTCTGTTTTTTTAATTAATAATTTGACATTCGATATTAATGTGAGTGCATTCAATAAATACCATTCAAATTACTAATATACAATGTGCTAATGAAATCACATATCACAATTACTCGAAAGCTACTGCCAACTACGGAAAATTAATTAATAATATCAAGACCGTCGAGTTATTAGCATTTTTGTATTGATCGTTGACAGTAAAAAGAAATGTTAAACTATCACTCAATAAATTATCTGAACGCAATAGTCACACTGTAAAATAACTATAATGCACCGCGTATAATAACAACACAGTGTTATGGAAAATAACTTTTAAATTAAGTGATTAACATAGATACATAGATACTATACATGAAACATGAAACATGAAACCCGTCCACGCGATCCGTGCCACACAGCGTGGCCAGAATGCGGCAAAGTCCTTCAGATCTGGCTGTAGTAGGATGGTGAAAGTAATGGTACAGCATTATAACAGTGAATAAGTACTGAGAAATAATTTTAAACTCATAGTTGATGTCGACATAGGAAGTAAAGTAAGCAAATGACACCGAATAAACGGCAAGGTAAAGACTACGTCTAATTATAGTGAGGGTTTCATGTTCTCTGCACGTAATAAGCTCGGTTATTAAAGCATCTTTTTTGGGGATGCCCGGTGGCCGAGGGGAAGACGTGTAGTGGCGTGAAGCTAGGCGATTAGGTGCCGTACGCGAGCGCCGGTTCGAGTCACGCACGCAGTACGTATTTACTATAAATAGACGTAGTCTTTACCTTGCCGTTTATTCGGTGTTATTTGCTTACCACACTAATTACTCCGGTATAAAAGGAATCATATATTACAATACATTTCTACCGGAAACATCACGTGACAGTAACACTAATATTAGTACATGTATCAATCAGTCATATTGGAACGACTTCAAAACCACTTGATACAACTTGTACTAGGGTGTGTATTTTGTGTATAGTTGTATAGCAGCAATTGGACAAACGCAAAATTTTTTGCAGGTGGAATGATTGTGTAGACACGTGTACTTTCTCGTTCAACTTTCGTAAACTTCAATATGCAATCGGAAAAGTCTATATATATATATATATATATATATATATATATATATATATATATATATATATATATATATCCATGGTTGGACTATGACGCTTGCACACAAATGGCATAATAACTGTATAAAAGGCCTTCTCTCACTCGCGAATTTAGGGGGAGGTGCGCCAGGGAGGGCGCTCAACACGCAAAAAAAATTGACAAATCAATTGACAAACCCAGCCCGACAGAGGTCTCTTTCGGCCACGTCAATAGGGGCGCCCGTTACCGAATTTCTGGACCCGCCAGTGTTCTCTGGTTGGTTGACCACTCTGGTTATTTGAGATCTCATGAACGAGATCTTCTATGGAGGCCGGGTTGTTCAGATCTTTGGACGTTCGCAGTCAGAAAATTATAAAATCTAATTTTAATTGGATTGTATCCTACGTCACTATGGTGACGACAAATTATTAACAATAGAGACATATTGAAAATAATTTCTCATACAGCTTCTGTCAATAATAATTTGACACTCTTTTGTTAGTATTGAAATTAATTAAATCACGGTCACTCACAAATTCAATGTAATACCAGCAATTATATAGCGTTCAAGTTAAACTGGCAGCAAGTAAAATGGTCAGGTTAGGGATGTCAGTCAATACTAGAAACTGTCGCCTGGCCATACACTTCTCTTATTCATGACGAAACTAAAATTAAATCTTGTAATTAAGCTTAATTCTTGAAAAGGGTTGGTTTATGGGTTTCAATGCAATTCTGACTTATGTCGCAGTTTGTAATACGATTATCTGCAATTAGAACCACTATCTGGAATCACGGTTCCTCTGCTCATACAAAGATGGATTGTACCTTACAGCACGTGAAGATCTCTAAACCACTCTCAATAATATCTAAGATTGCGTGACAGAGGTGAAAACGAGAGAGTTTTAACCGTAGCAAAATCAAATAAATAGCTTGTATATCTTTGAAAGAATGCCATTGTTCATGTATGCGGCAATACAAAGGACGCTAATTTACGGTGATGTACAGGGGGTACCGGCGTAGTTAAATCAGAAACGGACCCCGAAATACATTTTTAAAAGAAGATATCTAGCACCCGCAGTTGATATTGTATGTATTACCTGGACCAAAAGGGGTGTACGTATTTTAGAAATGTCATAAAAGTGACCGTACATAGTTTCGTACAGTCTGATAATAGATCAGTAATGGAAAATATGTACAGTAAGCACATCCGTCCAAACACGTTCAACGGTTTGCAGTGTTATGGAAGATTAAAAACCGATGCAATTTACATTTAGAACTTACATAATGAGATGCCGTGATATACAATACTATTTCATGATATTTTCTGTGATTGTAAAATACACTGCTATGTCAGGGAGGACAAGTATAACAAATCCACATTCTCCGAATGCACAACTTCTCAAACTAAAAACTGTTTAATATTTTTCTAAATGCTCTACTAAAATATGGACATATTATGTCCAGAAGCTTTGTTTTCCTGTATACGTTGCCATGACATTTTGTAATATTGCCATAATTAATTACCAGTCTCACAATTAGTTACTAAATTGAGATATCAATAATATAACTTTCAATAAATTAATTGTATTATACCTCTCGATGAGTGACGGAAAAAAATAATATTGATGTGACCAACATTTTTTTTTCATTCCCGCAAATATTTGATTAAAGTCATAGAATTTCTGAATATTCACAAATATGTTTGGTTACAAATATTCTGATATGCAAACAGCAGCTGAAATACACAATACAAAGTGGTAATAAGTTCACATATGGTGAGAAGCCAAATTAAATCGTGTGTGCACTGTCATGAATTTGTTTTCGCGTATCTGTTGACCGACTTAATTAGCTGATTATTAGCTGAATTGCTGTGTTATGTCTGTCATCGTTTAGGTCTATTTGAAGTTTTGGACGGAACTTGGCTCAGTGGTTTGGAACTAATTACAAGATACCGTCGCTATTCTGACATCCGTAGTTATTAATGTAGTGAACGATTAATCAAAAGATATGACGTATTCAGTACTTAGTGTGATTGGCTTTATGATTGAAGGTTACGCCCTAGAGTCTTTTTACTGCATTGTAATTGGTTAGAGTTTTGAAAATGAATAAAGAGAGTTTGAGTTGGTCTTGGCGAATACTCCACGACAGACGCAGTCCGAGAGAGTCCAGGGGCGAGCCTTGAGGCAGTCCAGTCTTGGGCTAGCCTTGGGTCAGCCTTGTGAGAATCTTGGGGACTTTTCCCCAGGGCGCTGTGTCTTATAGAGTGCTCGAAAGATCGACTAAGACGAGAGCTGAAACGTATTTCGTTGTGTGTGTCTTATTTGACTGTAAAGTTAAAGTGACTTTCCCGATCCCGTACCTCAAGGGGACGAGATATAGAAACGAGACGAGTTTCCCCCCCTGAAAGTGTGGAAAACCCGAGAGAAAGAGATTTTCCCCCTGATAGCACAATGAAATGATATCGCTCAAAGGCAACGTACACATCCCAGAATAACATTCCAACACCGTCGTACTAGACCTTTATACATTCATTATAAATAAATAAATAAATAAATAAATAAATAAATAAATAAATAAATAAATAAATAAATAAATAAATAAATAAATAAACGTTTTTACGTAGCTGTTAATCGCTATTCATTCAACTAATTTGAATATTAAATACAAATAACCAATATTGAGTGTTCGTTAACTGAAATCGCACGACATGAAATATAATACACGTCAATTTAGAAAATCAATAATTTGTCTTTGGATCTAGTGATTTTCTATATTAAGTTAAGTAGCCATATTTATTTTATCACTAGTGCCATACCAAACCGAATTTTCAATACAAAATATAATATGCAAAAAAAATATATCATTCATCGTAAATGGAATTATTTTTGCCGCTCTCCCCCTCCGTACGCTTTGTACAGTAATAGCGAACTGTTATCGCTATTGTGTTGTATAGGTATTAAACAACGGTGGTGGTTGCGTCGCGTCCTGTTTGATATGGGACTCATAGCGACGTATACAACGAGTGAAAAAGACATGATTTGTTTACGTGAAACTCGAACACGCGCTGCGCGACGACCACCGCCCTATAAGAATAAATCTTTACCACTTTAAAATAAAGGTATGTTAGATAAAACATTGAACCAAACTGATTTATGATGTTTCAGATACTTTATTGTTTTAATTTTGAAAGTGATAATCTACGTCCAAGTGTATAACAACACTAACACCGAATTATATTTATGTTGAAACGAGTCCGTATCGTGTGTGGTTAGGATAATTCAATAAACGTCCTTCATTCTTGGATGTTTGAATCTGACAAAACAACCGTAAGTTGTAGGTGTAATTCAATACTGCTAAAGTGCATACGATCGAACTTGACAATAAAAAGCAGTAGGGATGCATTACCATCCATATGTTCCGTTAATTCAATAATCTAGCCGGCAATTATAATTGGTATCCTTCCATATAAAATGAAAGTAGTAATTATTTATTAATATGCAAATCACTGAAAATATATATTTGGTTAGTGAGTTCAAATTACATCCTTATTTTGGGGAATGAAATAT